TAGGCAAAGAGCTCTTTGCCATAGATACTCTCCTTTCAGCAGGCCTTTGCATTCAGCCTGAAGAGTATTTAGTTGAATATTTGCCACCACTTGGAGAATGGTCTTCTGTTGCAGGATGTGTCGGTTAGGTCCTCATAAAGATGTGCCATTGAAGCCATCCAGGTGGAGTGGCAGCACATCTCGGCAGAGAGGGAAGTGCTGTGGCCACAGCAGCTGCCTGATGCCCAGAACAGACTTTGTAAATCTTGCAAATCCGAGGAGACATGGGCTCAGTGACTGTAACTGGGAGATGAGCTGCTCTCCCACAGAGCGGCCTGGGTGTAGACTGGTATCCGGCACAGATGTGTTGGGGAAGTGCATACATTGCACGCCAAGGAGAGATCTTGACCCAGAGAGCAATTTTGTGGCCTTCCTTTGAAAGCCAAAGACCTGCCTTTTTCCTTCTCTGATGGCCAGACTTGGTTGAAACTGCATCTATCTCTTCCTTTGCAGTAAAAAGCAAAGGGATAGCAAAATGAGAACAAAGTTCCAAGACACAGGGAGATATTTGTGCCCAAGTCTTTGCAGTCTCCAGTCTTTCAGTGTGTCAGCACCAGGTGTGAAAGGGAGGACGTCTGTGGTTGTGTGGACCTCCTAGACACAAACCCCGCTCCCTTCTCTCTGGGGACAAGAACTATGAAATGAAACCCGGGATGACCCCTCAAGCCTTACCTAACTGACGCAATATGCGAGTGCTGAGCCATGATGTGACGACAAGGTGTGTTAGTGCCTTTTGGAGAACATCTGAGAAGTGGGGCTGACCCATCTCACAGCAATCTACCCTGTACAGATCTGCTGGTAGAGTTTTAACAGCTGTCCCGCTAGAAGCTGTTTTCATCAAGGAACTCTGAGTTTGGCTACTTTTCAAAAATGCTGGGAGCTTAGAAAGTGAGTGGTTGAAAAATTAATCATTTTCAAGCTCTGCAAGTAACTGTGGAAGTCAGGTACCTCTACACGAGTGCCAACACATCTAGTTACTGAAATGGTTTTTAATCTGTGAATGAAATTTGCCCTGCACATGAGGAGCTTTACTTCCACATGCAGATGTGCTTCTGAGGCCAACAGCCCTACCTGCCGTATATATTTGTTGGCAGCTTGGGGGTTCATGTGTTATGGGTTCTGCTCTGTCCCAGGGCTGCACTGGGGCAGGTGGGACTGGTGGGTGGGAGGGAAAGGGCTCCTTTTCCAGGGCCAGTTGAGCGTGCTGGGAATGTGGGGGTAGGAGAGTATTGCGTGAAGGAGCAGGCAGAGTGGGCTCAGGGCAGCCTGGGAGTCTCCCCAATGGAGTGGGGAACAGACAGGCAGCCAGCTCTGGGAGGGGATGGACTTCCCATAGGGATCAACAGATCCCTGTGGAGCTGACTGCCCAGCCCATTGAGTTGCCAGCTGGAAACCAAGCCCTGAAGCCTGCAAAAGGACACTGTGGGCGGGGGGAACGCTGCTTATTAAAGGCCTTTTATCTCTCTTCTGCCTTCCCAAGTCACTTTGTATTGTCACTGTTATAAAAGGGAATTGTTTTAGACTGTAGTCTAAAGAAGCACAGTCTTTTACATTTCAAAGCTCTCTGGGTGTTCAGTTTAAAGCAGGTTAGTCTCAGTCTACATGACAAACTTTCCAGTGAAGCCAGAATAGTTACACATCATGTCCTGTTCTGCATTCAAAACCATACAAATTTTCAAGGCTGGGAAAATTACATCCTAGCTACATCCAGGTTAGGGCCAGCACTGATTCCCCTCTGCTGTGCACTCTTAAGTCCCACCTCCGGAGTGGTGCAGGGATTACACCAATAGAAGTGTCTGCTTTTCAGGAGTGCATGCATTTGCATTCATTCTGATTTATGATTCTTCTGAGTGGGATAAAAGTAAGGTAAGCATCACCAGCTTGCCACCATGTCTCTCTCCTTAGGTTACTGACCTTTGCTCTTGGATAGATGTCTGGGATGCAAGGTGGTTGCTGGAGCTCCCCATACTTCTGCTCCTGACAGGGAGAAGCAAGAGCTGCTCCAGTGTTAATAAATTCCCCAGCACACTTCCTACTGGGTAATAAATAAACTAACTTAACTTTGTAGCAGAGACTGTGCCTGCAGTACGGGTTTATCGTGATGCAACACAGCCCCCATGTGGAACAAGACCCTCAATGCGCCTTAGGGCACTTTGTGCAAGATTTGCACCAGTGAAGACGCTGCCCAAACGTGGCATTTTTTTTTAAGAGTCCGGAACGCTGATTGAATCTAGTGAATGGCTGTATTTGAACACCATCAGAGAGAAGTGGATAGCTTGGGTAAAGAAAAACTACATTTGTAAGTTGTGTCACAAATGTCTTTTTGCTTAAAAAATAAAATAAATGCTAACTGATGAGGCTAAAAAATATAAGCTAAAACTTTCCCTGCTTATAAGAAACATCTTCTGAAAGAGATTCTGTTGTTTTTCCCCTAAGATCTTTAAAAAAAAAAAAGTGGAAGATTCAACTCCTTCATAAATGTTTCCCCTCTAAGTTTTATTCTAGTGTCTGAGCCAAACATTGTCTTCTAACTACAGCAGTCTTGATTGCTGCATGTATACAGATTTCTTGATAGCAGTGTGTACTTAGGAAGGCCTGAGAACTTCTTTCCTTTCTTTTTGCTGGTGTCATCAGGACTTGGCTTGGAGGGACAGCAAAGATCGATTTTCAACAGATAGAGAGCACCCAGGGCTTTGGAGCATAACAAGCAGAAAGAGGTTTCTTGCTGGAGCTGGCTTGGATCTTCCTTGAAAATGTCCTGTAATTCACCTTAGGTTTGATGACATTTGGGTTTTTTTTCCAGACAGGCAAGCTTGACCCACATTATCCCAAAATATGTGGGCACAAAGGGAATGTTTTGGACATCAAGTGGAACCCGTTCAATGACTTTGTAATAGCTTCATGTTCAGAAGATGCCACAGTAAGTTTACCCATTTGTACTCTGTGTTACTACCTGGCTAATGTCCTTTTTTGGGAAAGAAATAAAAAAGAAACCAAAAGGCCCATGGATGAGATGTGAAAGCATACATATATATATATATTTTTATAAAAAAGTCAGGTAAGAGTAAGATTCCTGTTTTTCTCTTCATGTTAGACCTGTGTGATCCCTTCCAGATGATGTACCAAAATCGGTGGGAGGAGGAAGATCTGTTTTGTGGGGGCTTGTGGTTTTTTGGGGTGTGTTTGCATGATAAAAACAGAATATGAATTTAAAATGGAATGACTATTCAAGTTTACTTGCTATGAAACTCTTCGTTTACTTTAAAATAAAAGCTTCAACACTACCTAATCTGGAACAGCTATTTTAGATTAATTCCCTGCAGAGCAAGTTTAAGTTTATTCTTACACTCAGTGACTCTGTAAAGTCATGCTGGATCAGTTATGGGGTAGCTGAGGAATCTGTGTCATACTATTCTGCAAAAGGCATAAATGAAATATGCATTTTCCTACTGAAACCACAGAAAGACTCCAGAGATGCAAAAGTTCATGCTAGTGCAAACCTATAAAAAGATATTGAATACATCATATCAGCTTTAAGTTTTAGGCAGTAAGTGGTTTGGCTGAAGTTAGTATGACTAAGATGTAGTCACATATTTTACTTTAGTGAAGGTGCAGACTAGTTGCTAGGAATTGAAAGATTCATGTTTGTAAGGGACAATTTAGCCCATATCTACCCGCTGAAAGGTTGCTTTCCATGTCCTGTCAAAAGTGTGATGTTGGCTTCTGTGATAGTGAGGACACCTGACTAACTACTGTGCTTTTTTCCAGAGATCTCACATGTATTTTTCTCCCACTGGGTAGATTCACCCTCTGCCACGCAGCATCAGGGAGGTTTCTCTTGTCATTTCCTCCAGCCCTGGCTTGGTGCACATCCTCTGCCATTTCAGCACTGCCAAACACCACTCCTGAATTGGAAATCTAGGCTCTTTGAGTTGTCCTTCCTGTTTAGTGACTTGCCTTTGCTTCTTTGGATATTCACATATTTTTTGAAGGCTTCTTTCGATTTTGGGCTGCCTGTGAGGGTTTTACTTTATCTTCCAACCTGTATGCCAGGTTTTCATGCTGTCTCAGAAAGGACTTGTGGCAGGAAGGCACCACCTCTCTTTTGAGCCTCAGATGAGGAATGAGCACAAGCTTCAAAGCTTCCTGCTGTGGTTACAGAATCACAGAACCATTTGTGCTGAAAGGGAGCACGTGCAGGTCTGTGGAGCTCGGTCTTGAAAACCGCCAAGGATGGAGATTTCACCACCTCTCTGGGGAACCTGTTCCTGTTCTTCATTGCTCCCATGGGAAAATTTTTTTCCTTATATGCAGTCAGAACCTCCCTGGCGTAGTGAGAGTCTGTTTTATCCCATTGTCCCGCCCTGCGCTTCAAGAGAGCCTGGCTCTATTTTCTCAGTAATCTTGTAAGTATTGAAGGCTTCTATCAGTTTGCTCTGAAGCTGTCTCTTTTCCAGGCTGATCAAGGCCATCTCTCTCAGCTTCTCCTCACAGGGCAAGTGCTGCTGCATCCTGAGCATCCTGATGGCCTCCACCTGACTCACTTATCAGCATCTTTCTTGCACTGCGAGGTGCAAAAATGGATACAGTATTCCAGCTGTCTTTTAATGATTGCTAAGTAAAGGGGTAAATCACTTCCTTTGATCTAGTGGCTATTTTCTTGTTGTTCCAGAGCAGGATGTTGCTTTCTTTTATCCCTGCCAGGGCATACTGCTGGGTCATATTTATTCTGTTGTGCACCAGGACCCCAGGACCTATGCAGAAGGGCTGTTCTCTGTCAGCTTTCTTTTCCAATTTCCTACTGAAACTTGGCACTGGATCATTCTCCAGGGTAAAGAACAGAAACACTGAGTTTGTCACTGGTCTCAGCATCAGAAGTTGTTCTAAGAAGTCTTGCTGTTTGTGACTGTATTCTCATTTTTGGTACTACCCTCCTGTCATCATCCTGGCACCAGGAAATGGGACCTTAGGGGTCCCCTGCATAGTGACACAGTGTAGTGACACCTCTTCCCTGTCCCCTAAGTAGTGAGGACAGCAGACTGTGTTTCTTAGTGTGACTGTCTTTCCTGGTACCTGGTAGCTAGACCTGTGGAGGTCACTTAGCCAAGCTCTGTTCAAAGCAGGCCAGTTAAAGACTTGTCCAGATGAGTTGGGAAGATCTCCAAGGCTACAGATCCCATGGCCTCACTGGGCCCTTCTTCCAGGGGTTGAGTACCCTTCTGGGGAAAATAGGGCTCTTCTGATCTCCAGGGAGTGCCCATACTGCCATTTGTGTCCATTGCCTTTAGTGCTCTCCTTGTGCATCTCCAAAGAGTCTGGCTGCATCTTCTTTCTGCCTTTCTGCAATGTAGTTGAAGGGCAGCCAGAAGAGCTCACCTTTGCCTTCTCACTCCTGTGCTGAAAAAATTATTTTCTTTCCAGCTCTCCACAGATTTGCTGTGCTCCTGTCCCCTCCTCATCTCAGTAGCTGCTGTTGGACCCACTCCATGGGGTCAACATCCGTTTTGTCCTGGCTTGTACTAGAAGGCACAGATTGTACCTCCACAGCAACAGATTGTACCTCCACAGCAACACTTTCTCTGTCCTGAGAGAAGTCTGAGGAAGTTTTTGGGGTCCCAGCGGTGTCCGCCACTTCCACTGGGCTGGACATTAGAGCCAAAGCCTTCCTTGCAGTCTGTTGTTAAAGGCCTGGTGCTCTCTGCCATTTCTCAACATTAGCATAAGCCACTGTTCTGGCTTGTGTGCAAGGGTGCGTCTTACTGGGCCAGGTCTCCCTGAAACTTTTGAGGAAGGCCACAAACTTCTGTGAAGATGGTGCAAATTTTCCGACACCCACGTTCTTCAGAACTTTCTTGGCCATTAACTAGTCTGTCTGGAGCTTGCCTTGGTGGAGAGCTATCTTTTGTGGCTTGTAGCTGGAGCCTGTAGAGTGGTACTTTTGGGCATGGGAGGGGATGGATAGTCTCTGTGAACACCTAGTGCCTTTTCCAGTTCCCACTGCTGCTTCAGCCAGGCTTAGGACTGAGGCCGATGCAAGTGGCCAGGGGCTGAGAGTTTGAATAGTATGGGGAGAGGGCTTATCCTCTTACCCCTTCTATTCCTTTGGCAAATCATCAGTCATGTATGAATTCAGCTTGCTGAAGATCTTCTCCCCTGTGGTTAGAGGGGCAAGTCTGTGCCTTTTACTTTGCTTTGTCAGGTTTTCTTCAAGATGCAGCAGGGTAGACATCTCATGAATTGTTCCTGCTTGGCCTGGCAGGTCTGGCTCCAAGACCTGCTTTTTCTACACACTAAGCATTGCAATTTCTGCCATTTAATGCAGCCTGAGATTCCAGCCAGGGGCTTTTCCCTACTTTTACCGCCAATCATTTCATAACATGGGGAGTGAATGGTTCATTCTAGGCAGTTGTTCTCAGTGTGAACACAACTCTTCCTACTCTCTCAGCCCCACTCCTTTATTGATAGCTGTTGAAGTGATGCTTTTACCACTGTAGAAGTTCTATGGACCCCATGGTCCTTAAGTTTCTGATTCCTCAGTGGGATAAACACTGTTGAGAAGGGTGCTCGTGATCTTTCCCAGCAGGTCCCAGAATTTGTGCTTCTCCTTTGACTTAGAAAGGTGTGATCCTCATTGGCCATTGGGAGACTTGGGCAGGTGTGGCTAATTTCCATGAACTATGTACTTCAAAGAGCATTTCCCTTTTGCTTCAGGCTAAGTCCTAGAAAAATTATGACAAGCATAGTAATTTTTGTTGAGCCAAAGGGTTAATCATCTGTTAGCATCCTAAATACTTGTGCTTCTAGAGTTAGCGTGAGAAAGACTCTTTTGTTTCACCTGCATAGGTTTTTTGCAGGTTTCCTCTACTGTCTTCTTCCACCCCAGGAGGACAGAGGATTTTTGTCTTCATGCAGCATCCTTCTGGAAGAACTCAAGGCTGCAGGTAGACCTATTATGAGACAGCACACTCCCAGTGTTGAGTGACGTCAGTGCAGTGCTGGCCACTCTCCCTGCTCACGGCATCTACTGTGTGGCCACCTGGTTGGGCTTCTGTGTACTTTGACAAATGGCTGTGTCATTTGCAAAGCGTTCAACACTGGTGCAGTTTTTTATGGGACAAACAGTACTATAGCTGTCATCTGACCAGGGGAGTTCTCAATTCTTTCATCAGGTAGCATTGAGTGGAGGACTTCTTGGATCAATCACTGCTATAACATCTTCTGGGACTCTTTGCTGAAGTTTTTCAGATGTGCTTGTTTCTGCTCAAAGTTTGTTAGAAGGCAAGGTCTGCAAGATCTGTGGGAATAACTTTTTGTAATTGTACTGACAGCTGGGCCAGGTGTAAGGAGTGGATTGACAAGTTAAAACAAACTGGTAGAACTTCTGGCTAAATGTAGAGAGTTAAGAGGAGTCTTCAGGCCCACATAAAAGTAAAGACACTAATTTAAAGGCTTTATTCAATAAAGCCAGGAGAATTGAGCATTCCTACTGACTACGAAGGGAATAATAGTTACTGGTAAGTTCCAAATTAGCTCCTTACTGAGGAATCTCACAAAGACCCATCCTGTGCCATTCAGGTTAAAATCTGGGACATCCCCAAGCACTTGCTAACAAGAAACATTACCAGTCCAAAGAAGGAACTTCTTGGGCATGTTCGAAGAGTGGGCCTCATTGAATGGCATCCCACTGCTAATAACATCCTCTTCAGCTCCGGCTATGACTACAAGGTGAGTCTGTTCTCTGTGGAGCTCTGCTCCTGGGACACCGTATTTGGTGGGGTGTTTTGAAATTTGTTTTAATTTCAAGTTGTAAGATAGTGCTAAAGAGTTCAGAAGCCTTCTTTAGGGGAAAATTCCATGGTGACCCCAAAGGCAAAAGGACATTGCTACAAGTTCATAAAGGACTTGCTAATTTTGCAGCATTGTGATGAACTTTAGTCTACTCTGTCCTTCTCCTTTACTGGATTGGATACAATATGCAATACTATGCATTTTTGTTTGGCTTCATTCTTGTGCTAGTGCAAATATCTGCACTGATGCTGGCCATTTTTATGTATAAAATGTGGTTGCAAAGGAAATTAGAATATTGGACATTCTGAGTGTCCCTGATTTATTGCTCTAAGTACCAGGAATTATTTTAAATGCTGGAGAACAACAACTTATGATGGTAAGACCTATGCATGTAGAGAAGAGAGAAATAAATGAATAGGGTAGCCTGAGTTCCCAATTGGTCAGGCAGCAGAGGTCTGATTTTTTTGTTCTGTTGCCCCAGATAATGATCTGGAACCTTGACACCAAGGAGGCTGTTATCTCGAACCCAGTGAAGATCCTTGATGCTCACAAAGATGTGGTCCTCTCCATGTCGTTCAACACAGATGGCAGTCTCCTTGCCACAGCCTGTAGGGACAGAAAGATACGCCTGATAGATCCTCGTGCAGGAACAGTCCTACAAGTAGGTTGGGTTCAGAGGTTTGTGGTACAGCTGATCTCACCCTTTGGAGTGTTTCCACTTCTGGGTAGATTCACTGCCATTAAAGAAGAATTATCTGTGCCCTGTGTTGCCAAGGTACCAGATGGTGCTATTGCCTTCTACTTTTCATGCAACACTTGCTGTCATTGTTGAAAACAGGGTTTCTGCATCTTGCTATCATGCTAGTTGCTCCCTGAAACCCTTCTTGAAGTGCACTGTTTTCATAGCTCCCTTCTGCAGTCCTCTGTGGGATGCCTTGGGAGGGCTTATAGAGATCAAGTGGACAGGTGGATGCAACTGTACATTTGGCCCACTGCCAGGTTTGTTGCCTGTACTTTGTGTCTGTTGGTAAGATGAAGCTGACTGCGTTTCGTAGGTATTTGCACAAATTTGTATACGCAGAATATCCTGCCTACAGCTAATAGGCATTGCTGTGTGGCAAGTATGCGAATCAATAGTTAGATTGATTGGGCTTTTGGGAATGGTCCTGAAGAGTTTAGGCCGCCTTTCTTGGATCCCCATGCAATCCTGCTCACGGCAGTTCAACCAGGCTGAGCAGATCTTTCAGATGTGACTGAATCAGGGGTGTCATGTAATGTCAAATGCAGCTTTGCAACAGGTTGTGTCTTACTCACGCAATGTCCTTTCTCTTCCTATAGGAAGCCAGCTACAAGTCTCACAGAGTCAATAAAGTCTTGTTCCTTGGAAATGTGAAAAAGCTGTTCTCTACTGGAACATCTCGGTGGAATAATAGGCAAATTGCATTATGGGATCAAGTGAGTTGGACCAGCAATCTTAACCATATCAGCTTCAGTTTTCTCTTTTTTGCTGTCGCTATAACTTTTCCACCCGCCAAATACCCAAGAATTGGTTTATAATAGTAATTCAGAAGTCATCTTTTAAATTCTTAATGGGTGATAGGTCTTACTGCTATGACTCTGTTAACTGAATATGAGTTTCTGAAGAAGCTTTCAAAGCTTTCAACATAGAAATCCACCAGAACAAAGAGAATGCTGTGCTGAGTACAGGAAGAAACAATTCAAAAGACCTTTGGGTGGTCACTGCAGCTCTGACTTAAAAGCACCTCTTGCTCATCTTACTGGCAATTTGTTCCTAGTACTGCAAAGAGAAATGAGGTCTAGACACAGCCTACTCAGGTGAAACCCTCAATGGAGAAAAAGATATGTGGTGGTTTTGATTTCTGATGATTCCTGACAGTAGAGGTAGCATTTATTAGTCACTTCCAAGACATGACAGCTGATCATGATGGCTACTAGCCTTACAAAACCCCACTCTCCTCTACCTCTCTTATATGTAGTGAGATGCTTTTTCTTTGTCAGCATCTCACTTTGTCCCTCCATGTCAACCACCCTGTGGCACAATCTGCCTCTTTGTTGTGCTGTTACCTTTTGTACCAGCCAAAGCTGGTAGACCAGGTCTATGATTTGCCATTTGGCTATGTTTGAACACGGCTTCTTTGCATATGTGAGAGGCAAAGGACTGTGCTACTATCCAAAGGCTTTCCACAAAGCTGAGCAGTGCTCTGACACACCATGGGTCTCACATCAGGACTTCACTGCCTTCAGAGCTGCTGGAGGAGCTGGCCACACTTAGTCTGAGAACACAGTGGGAAGGCCTGTGAGGCCAGGTATGTGCAGCCTCCTTAGGGACAGGCATTGGCACAGGACTGCCCAGCAGGCATTTTTCTGAGGTCCACATCCACCCATGCCGTCACTGCATCTAAACAGAAGCTCTGACTTTCTGGAGACTGCAGCTAGGCAGTTCTTCAGGACAAAGTATGTATTAACCCTATGCTAAATACATATTTATGTGACAGTAGCCTCAATGGCAGCTGTGGGTTGCCACACTCTGCCCTGTTGGGCTTCCCGACATTGCTCCTTTCAGCAGTGCAGAGACAGCTTTGTACAAGACATGTCAGCCTTGTGTACGGAGTGGTGTGCTATGTCCTCCTACCTGGCTTACCTGCAAAAGGCCGATGGGAGCTTTTGCCCTTGCAATGGGCACCTTCCCACTGTGCAGCATTGAGGCTGCTTGGCTGCTGTAGACTGTTCTTGTGGTGGGTAGTACACTATTGTGGAGGTATTGCCTCGACTAGAGGTAGTGAGGGAACGTGAGTAATTCAGGTGTGATGCAGACATGCTGCGAAGGCCCCTCCATCTCCTGACGTCTGGTGGCCCAGGTAGAGGCAGGCAGTGTTTCTTATTTTATCTACTTGTCATCAGGTGCCTGATGTGTTCTAGTGGTAGGAATTGATGTCCTGAGGTGCTGCACTCACTCAAGAGCCAGGGACAGAGCACCCATTTCCTACCCATAAACCTTTGAAAAAGTCTGTGCATGGCCCTCTGCTCAGGGCTGCTGCCAGGGGGGGTTCAGGTAAGGTGTCCCTGACTTGAGGTGACTGACAGATGATCACAGGTGTCTGTTTTTCCTGTGTCCTGCCCAGAATGACCTTTCAGTGCCTTTACTGGAGGAAGATCTGGATGGCTCCTCAGGACTCCTGTTTCCTTTCTATGACTCAGACACACACATGCTTTATGTTGTGGGAAAGGTAAGTGCTTTCCAAGTCAGAAATGGTGGCCTGTGTGATTCTTTTCCTGGCCTGTGTTGTGTCAGGCTAAAGTCAAAGATGCTCCTGAAGCACGTTAATCTAAGGGTATGGGCTGATGGGATGGGGCCTGAGAGCGCTGCAGCATCGGCCCACATTTTCCATTGCAAACATACCATGTTTACTGTGGGAAGATACACTACAGAGCCCTAACCTTCCCACAAAGGAATTTGGGGGTAAATATTTGGTTCATTCTTGACCTTGCATGGCTTCTGGGGTCAGGCATTCTTCTCAGACCATCATACTGAACAGCAGAGCCTGATTTATGTTCATTTTCTTTGCCTTTAGGGTGATGGAAATATACGGTACTATGAGATAAGCCCTGAGAAACCATACCTGAACTACCTGATGGAATATCGTTCTCATTTACCACAGAAAGGAATTGGTGAGTGGCAGCGTATGTCTAACATTACAAGAGGATGGTGGCTGTCAGAGTCTAGGACTATCCAAAATATCATTTAGAAAAGAGAGTGAGTCAAATTCCAGTTTCCACCCAGGTTTACAGGTGCACAACAGTCAGCTTGGCCCAGCTCATCTATATATCACAGGTGGTATTACAGGGTCACAGCTTGGAGGGGTCCCTTCTGACCAGCAGAGCATGGGCTGGGCAGCTTTACCAGACATTGCTGCATCCTTTGTCACATACCTGTTCAAGGTGGATAGTCTGGATTTAAAGGTGGAGGATGCTCCTTGCCCTTTGTGAATCTGCTCCAAGATTTTTGGTACTGAACTCTGTTGATATTGTTTCCACTCTGGGATTTCTCTGCCAATGGGTGCTCCAAATCTTTATGCCTTCACTCTTACTGCTTGCCTACCTTCTCTTGTACTGGTGTCGTGGTTTAGGCCCAGCTGGCAGCA